CCATAACTCAAAATATTTTAATTTCAGTAAAATTTTAATTTAAATTAATTGTTTTAATTAAAAATTAAGACATAAATGGCATCTTAGAAATACTACAAAATATAATTCACATATATGCTAAAGAAATTGAATAAAACGAACCCTACTGAATAAAATGATTAAAAAATCATTCATGGCAACAGCAAGAATTGTAAATCCGAGCACTACTATTGGAAATTAAAATTAAATTCTGTTCCATCTTGCGGCAAATTTTTGAAATTGAATTAACAGAACTAAATAATTTTCATAAATTGCCGGATTAAACTAGAAATCAAAAAATTTTTAAGTTGCGACATTTTTGTTCCAATCGAGTTATTTTGTTCATCCACTTTTCTGCAAAATAAATATAACATTATAAAATATTAGAGAAAAAATGTGTTAAATAAATTTACATCAAACATCATAACTACAAGTACATTAATTTTATTTATTAATCGATAAATTTTTAATATAATAAAAAAAATTCATAGATATATACATACATATAACACATTTTAACTACAGAATTCCGTACACACTGTTATTGAAAATGTTAATGTAAATATTATGTAATATTTTTTAATTCAATTTAATATTATTATAAAGGTCGCACTCGCGGCGTCAAAAATATTCTTTATCGGGATGTTTCTAAACCTTAACACTTTTTTTAATTATTAAAATTAATTTTATTTAAAAAGAAGGAGGAAAATAGTATAATTTTTTAATTTATTTAAAATTCTTAATTGTCATATTTTATTTACATTTATTAAAATTTATTATGAATTCATAAAAATAAATTCGATCGTCTCATTTATAAATAATTAATTATTCAGCTAAGACAATCCCATGTCAAGTTCAATAATTGAAATATCGTATAACAAACGTTTTACTTTTACTTTCAACTAAATATAGTAATTGAATTAAATTAATTGGAATAATAATTTTTACCTATTATACACACGTTTATTATAATTTTTTAATTTTTATTACAATTTATTTTATTTGTAATTATATGTACAGTAAAATGTACTGTGAAACATCTATTTCATAAATTAAAGCTTACGTATAATTCTGTATTTTTTGGAAGAAATTACAAAATTTTGAGTGATCTAATAAACCAAATTATTCATAGTACTTCGAACAAAAAAATTAGGTTGTGGTTATATCGGAAACCTTACCACAATGCCACAATGTAAAAAATACATTATGTAAACAATTCCAATCATGTTTAGCACAATGTTTTCTAAAATAGTTGTTAAGAAATTTTTGAATAAAAAATTTCGATAAAGCGAAATTGTTTTCGTGACGTCATAAATAATTGACTTTATCGATGTCACAATTAATTATGATCAAATCTTCAAAAGCTCCATGTAAATACTCTCTATTACTCAATTTATATTTTTCCAAATTAAAATTTAATTTTACATAATCTCAATTACCCCAGTCTATAAAAAAAGGGAGTAGTTGTGTAACGTATATTTATTCCAGTAAATGGCTTTACACATTTATATGAAAAGTAAACATTTTAAATTTATAAATTAATTTTTATTCCTATAAAGTGCAGGATTACCAAATAAAACACCATTTCATTTATACAAACTACACACCTAACCACTTCAGAAAAGTTTGTAAAAAACTTCATTTTATTTATACTCTGGGACGCACCAAATAATTTGATTTTTGAATTCACTCTACAATATAAAAAAAAATATTGTCACAAAAGCAGAAGTAGCACGTCGGACATATTTATGTACTTACAAGTTATTTATATTGTAGCCCTGAGTATATTGAACCTTTAGTTTTTAATACATTGTGGTTCGTATAAAGTTGTAAATAATTTCAGTGATGATTATTTGATCAGTTTCCAGCAGAAATCGTATGGTTGGCGGGAAAGGAGAAGTGGGTGAAATACAAGCATACTCGCTTTTGGACTATAGACAGTTAATCGACAGTTAAAAAAGGGGCCCCAGATTTGTCCTTCATATAAATAAATACTAATAAGATCGTAGTCGTTCAACTAAAGTAATTTCTAGCCTATTATTTTAAATATAATTGATAGATCTTGATTTTTACAATCGATTATATCTGACCTTTAGTTTTTGAGAAAATGGTACCAAAACCGGATTTTTTTGAAGGTTTTTGTTTTTAATAAAACACAAAATTTCCCGAGATTTTTTGCTAATATTTTTTTCTTTCGATTCGGTTAAAGTCCTCCAGACAGAATTTAAATTTTTGCTAGTATTTTTTTTGGATTGCTCGTATTTCTTTTTCCGATGCGGTAAGAGTTCTCTATGGAATATTTTCTTTAGTCTCTCACAGTTTTGTTAAAAAAATTTAAAAATTAAAATGCAAAATTTTTTTTTTTAAATACATTATGTTAGTTTTTATTTCCATGGCAATTAATATTAACCATAATTATATAATTATAATGTATATGCAATACACATGTATATACGTAAATATATTTTTCATATATATGTATGTACAATATATTATTATGTAAATTTTCTTTTGTTTTAAAATTCTTTTTGTTTTGTTTTTCTCTTCTCTAATTCTAATTTCTATATTTTTATATAAAACAACTCAGGCTCTACAATATTATAATTTTTTATGGCACTTTTTTTTTTATTCTATAATTTTACAGTTTCAATTAATAAGTTTCTTTAATATAATTTTGAGTTCTTCTTATTCACAATATATATTTTATTTTATTAAATTTTACATTAAAAATATAAAAAGAAAAAATTTTTATTGTTTTTTTTTTTAGTTTTTCATTTTAAATACAAAAGTTTTTGAAAAATTGAACAATTTGTTAACTAAAGGAAATTTTATTTTATTATTTTTTTCAACTGTTAATAATTTTGGCATTTATTTGACATATTTCAATCTCTTATGTATATACATACTCATACGTATTTATTTTTTAATTATGACTATATTGTACATATACATACATATTTATATATATGTATTTTATGTTTTAAAAATAGTATTATTAAATTTTTTATATAAAATATATTTATTGTGTATTTTATTTAAAGTTGTTCTTGCATATATTAAAAAAAACAATACCGTTTTCATTTTTTGTTATATAAATATATATTTACATAATTATTATATACATATATTTTATTAATTATTATTGTTCATGTATCAAAATATTGTCATTGAAATGTCAATTAAAGTTGTCAAGAAATGAGTTTTTTGTTTTTTTTTGTTCTTTGTTTTTCAATTTTTATGTATTGAATTTTAATTTTACAATTTATTGTCATTTTAAATTTTATTTTAACGAACAAGAAAAAAAAAATATAAGATAAAATTTTTTAAATGTTTAGAAATAAAATCAGTTTACTTTTAGTCACATAAAAGGCGCACTGTAATATTATTATGGGGTTTTCGAAACAAAAAAAACACAAGTGTATTTTTTGCGAGGTAGCTGCTAATTAAATGAGACTTTGACATTTTATAAATTAGGTGATTAAGATTACAACTTGCTTATGACGTAGCTTAGGTCCATTTACTTTGAATTAATATTAGATTTTAAATTCATAGTATTTAACACTAATAACATTAAGGCAATTGCACATGCTTCGAATTTAATTCATTTCTCTCATAAATTTTCAATTAATTTTTATTTTAAATATTTTCAAATATATTTATTTTTCAATATGTAATAAATTTGGCACATTTTCTATGGTATACAATAGCCAAAATGTTCTAAATCAACTGGATTAATTTTATTAAAAAATAGAACCAATTGAGTATAGCAATTCAAAAATGATAACTAAGTTTGAGTTCATGTTGGAATATCTTACTTAGATCTGAAAATGTAGTGCGTTTTTGTGACAATACTGCAAAAAGCATGTCATTTTCGTGTAAAGAACTTTTAAAGATAAGCATTAAAATGAATGCTGCCAATGATTAGAAACTGACATAACCTAAAAATACAATTGCAAAATCCATAATAATAATTTTTAAGTGAAAATTGAGGAATTAATGTCAGTTAATATTTTAATTATTCTATAAAAATTTTAAAAGCATTATGTATTTAGTTTCAAAAAATTATTGTCATTTATGCAGTTCTGCCAACTGGTTTTAAAAATAGAGCTGATTCCTTCTGTTTTTTAAACTTTCTGCTTTAGAATAGAACTGACAGAAGTAGAATTAAGTTTCAAGATAATTTACAATGCTAAAGAGCAAAATTTTTGCTTTTTCGATTATTAATCGATTTAATTTTATGTCGATATTAATTAAAAATGTCAAATTGATTAAAATGAAAAAAAAAACTGATTTTATTTCTGACAAATAATAGCAATAAACATTGAAATTAAAAAAGACAAAAATAAAAAGAAAATTTAAAAAAAAAAAACATTTTTAATTTAAATTTTGTACTATTGTTAATTGTGCATTTGAAAAATATTTTCTTTATAGAGGCGGACGATGTTTTTGTTTTCTATTTATTTAAAAAAAAAATATAACCATAAAAAATTATATTTAAAAAAAAAAACAAAATATTAAAATTAATACAAAATTAACAGAAATAAATTATTTAAAAAATATGTTTAAGAAACTAACTAGAAAATTCACGAATTTTAACAGAAAATTTAAAAAAAAATCCAAAAAAAAAAAAATATAATATAAAATTTCTTAAAAATTATTATAAAAATGTAAGCCCTGCCTAAAATTATACATAACATAACTGTTCATATAACATTTTTACAAAAGATGACAAAAAAAAATAAGGTTACATAGAAAGTTTTTTTAAAAATTCATATTTTTTATTTTAATTAATTTTTTTTTTTGTTGAGATTAAATCCATTTCATTTAATTATTATATAAGCTTTGCGCATTACTAAATACATAATTACAAAACAGCACTCTTTTTTACATACATACAATTTTTTTTTGTTGCATTTAAAATTTACGTAGTATATTCTAAATTTTATAAATTTAATTTGCCGCTTATACAATAAAGTTTTTGAGACAATAAAAGATTAAAAAATTAAATTAAAAAATTTTGTTTTTTTTTTTTTTTTCAGTACAATAAAATGAGACTCGATTCGATTTATACTTTTAAAAAATATTATAGTAGTTCATTTTAATAATATTATTTTTACGGATAATGGCACCGGTTTCTAAAATTTTTTCTTTATTTTTTATTAATTTAAAAATTATTTGCAATTTGAACTTTATTCATCTTTCTTTTTACGAATTTTACCTTCGGTTTGTATTGTTTTTGTAACCATATCGACACATGATGCCAAACTTGGTGAACTTTGATCTTCACTATAATCAAGACCAGCCATACGACTTAATGTTAATATATAGGAACATGCAACTCTTAAAACAGATAATTTTGATAATTTTTGTGAATTTGAATATGCTGGTACAGATTTTCTTAATGTATCATAAGCAGCTGAAATTGTATGTACACGTGTACGTTCACGGGCATTCGCTTCAATACGTCGTTCTCTTGTCATATTTTTATAATTTCGTTGTATTGGACGTTGTAATTGTTCATCAGAACCTTGTAAATTATTTATTTCTTTTGTATTATTTAAATTTTCATTTAATTTATTATTAATTGTTAAATCATCAGATTCTTCTATATCAATTCTAAAATTTTTATCATTATTATTATTCGATAGATCACTATTATTATTATCACTGTTATTACTATTATTATTATTTTTTTCGGTTTTTCTATTATTAAAATTATTTTTATTATTTTTCGAATTTCGATAACGATTAACTACTTCATTTGAATTAGTATTGAGATCAGTTTTATTTTGTCTTTGTTTCGATACTTTAACTAATTGTGATTTATTATTATTATTATTTTGTGTTTTTTTCGTTAATGAAGTTGATGAATGTAATGTTGTTATTTTTTGTGTATTTATTTTTGAATTTGATGAGATCATGTTATTTGTATTGATAACATCTTTATGTTCTGTTGTTGGAACTGTTGATGTTGTTATTACTGTTGTTCCTTTTGTTGATATTGATTTATTTGTAGTTGTTGTTGTTGTTGTTGTTGAAAATGAATTTGATTTTTTTGTAATAAGAGCTAAAGGTTCATCTTGAATATCATTTGAAATTTTATTTGGTCTTAAATTTCGATGTAATGTTGTTACACCAGGATGTCGTACTAATATTTCAGCTGGATTTGGCATTTTTTCATGTGGTACAATACATTGTGATTCATCCCATGGACGAAAATGTAAATTATCATTTTGATATTCTATATTTTTATTATTACTAGTTTGAGAATAATTTTTAATATTTTCTTCTTGTTCATATTGTTCTTCGGTATGATAACGTACACGTTTTTTTAATGGACCAGTTTCTTCTCTACCCAATATAACACGTGATGGTTCAGTACTTTTTCTTTTGTTACGTGTATAACTAATTGGTGTAATTTTAACTTCAACAGAATCTTCTGATGAATCTTCTGTTTGGAAATTTTGATGATCTGTATGATGATGATGATGATGTTCACTATAATTTGAATTATGATTGTGATGATGATGATTATGTTGTGATGATGCATTATCAATTGAAGAAGTATCATCACCAACTTCGGAGCTACCAGAACAGAAACCTGCATCACGTTCACTAGGATTTGGAGATCCTGCAATGAAAATATAAAAAAAATTAATCATATTAATTTTTCAATTGTTAAAATTTTTCATAAATTTTGTTTTACTTTTATTATTTTTTCCTTAATAAATTCATCATACAAGCATAAATTACTTACAAAAGAAACAAATAATAAAAATATTATTTTAATAATATTTATGAAATCGTCACGCGATTAAAATTATTGACCTAACCCAATATAAAATCGTGTAGAAATAAAATTATGCCTAAAGAAAAATTGCAATTTAATAGTGTGATATTATGCACCTTTTAATTTTGTATGAAAGTTTTTTAATTAGAATTTCTAATTACTCAAGAAATCATATTTTAACATCTTGTATACATTTAAAATATTTACTAAATTTTTATTTCCTTTAATGCTTTCATACAAAGTAATGTGTAAATCATTTCTTTATACCACACATTATTTATGTACATGCATAATATAAAACTAATTATTTTATTTATTCGATATTCGATATTCCGAAAAGAGGCATAGGTGTGTAGAGTCTTCCTATATAATATGCATATAGGTAAATTTGTCGAACGATTTACCATTTACTAGCATTCTTTTTTTGTTTGTGAATTGATAGTAGAACTTTTCTCGAATTTAAATACCAATAATTTCAAAAGAAGAATTCATTCAAATTTTAATTTCGTGCCAAATAGGCTTTTCAATCAAAAAATATCAAGAAATTAAAACTTAATAATAATTTTCAAAAAAAGCCCCGGTTCTAATTTTTCATTTCAATTGAACCCTCACGTACAACGTACCCTCACATTTAAATTTAAACTTGATTGAATAAGGCTACAAATATTAGACAAGAAAATAAATCGAGATCTGATCGTACTCTGATAATAGAAAAGCAAAAGATAATCACATTATGACTCTATAAACAAGTATTTAAATAATAAGTTTTAACCAGTTCGGTCTTGTCTACAACGTATAAATAATACACCAAACTCTCCAGACTATGCTTATTAAATAAAACATTTATTAAGGTAAATTTCCTAAATATTAACTAAAGCTCTCATTTAAATGCATATATGTAGAGTATATATAGAAGTAAATTCATGCAAAAATAAACTCAAATTATATGTTTATAAGGCACAACAATTTATCAACTTAATAAAAATTTATGTTTAAACATTACTATTGAATTAAAAACAAAATGTATAGTTAGTTTATTCATAAATATAAGAGAAATTGGCGACAAAATAAAAATTGTTTATTATAGTAATTTATACAACACATAAAATTGCACCTTGCACATTCCAAAAGGAATTTATTTTCATTTTATGAAATTTATTCAATTAATATTCGATTTTATGCTATGAGTATAACATTTGTGTATATATATAAAACAATTTCAGTATTTATCATAATTCAACAAAATATTCATGTATTCATACATAAAATTATTTACTAAAGTAAATGAATTTAAAACGCGTGCGCTTATAAATATGGATTCACTGTATTTGAATACAAAAATGTATAAAACTTTATTGTACGAGTATAAAAATTAGTTATTTTATTTCCTTGTCAATTTCATTATGATTTCATATGCCTCTTAACATAATACTTTGATACAAATTATGCCATGCGGAAATTAAATAATTTATTTAACAAATTATTTAAAATAATTTGAATTTTATTCAAAATTAATAACAAAATGCATAAGTAAAGGTGAAACATATGAGTTCTATTGTTAAAAATCTTATTAATTATAAATTAATCTCAAGTAATATAGGACTCCGAATTGGACTTTTCAAATAAATCACCTAGTATGTATAAACGTATTCCAATTAATTATAAAGAACATACAATAAAGGACCTCATATTTTTTGCTTTTAAATGCATACACTTTATTTTTAGAAATTTTTAATAGATATGCGACTATTGCCAGCTGTACATAAATATAAAAAATTCTTTAAGAAATTCTAAAATTATTAAATTTTTTTTCTTAGATCTCAAACATTATGTTTATTATAATTGCAGTTAAAAATATAATGTATTATTTAAAATAATTGATAACGGCACCAAAAAAAAAAAACAGACTAAGAGTGAATTTTTAGACATAGTATTTATCATAATATACTTGCGGCTACTTGCTTTTAACGATCATATTTAATATACATATAATAAATTTGAAATTTATTCAAAAGAAAATTATATTTCATTAAAGCCTAATCAATTATTATTTAATGCCTTTAGCACAACTTTGATTATAGAGTATCAGAATAACTTATATAATTATATATTATGTATACATATATATATATACATATATATATTCATTGTCTATATAGTACATTATGTTACATATAAAAATTTTGTCGCCTTTAAAATATTACTTAACCGCATATTATAAAAATTCACCTTCTAAACTATTAATTAATATTTTATAGAATAAATTTTAGTTGTATGCCGCAAGTTACAGACATTTTATTCCATACATTAAATACTCGTATATATATAGTATCAGGTGTATAAATTTATGTTAATAATCAAGAGAAAAATTTAATAACTTAATAGAATCTTAACTGGATGCAATATGTATATATTAAAACTCTTGAAAATATCATACTAGAGAAAACAATATATATTATTATATTAAAATTTATATATACTTATATATACGCTTAAAAAATTAAAATGTCATAAGATCAAATTAATTCTATATTAATTTCTTTGAAATACGTAATAAATTTTCTAAGAAAAATACCTATAACATATTCATTAACCTGAAATACAGGGTATATTTAAAATTATGAGAATATTAAAATTTATAAAAAAAATTTAATTATCTACAGCAAATTAATTAATAATAATTTTTATTATTAATAATTAAAATAATAGAAAGTGATTTCAAAAATTTCCAAGGAATGTGATTTGCTTCAATTTTATTTGTAATTTTTTTCTTATGAATGAACAAAAATTTACAATCAATTTTCAATTACTTTCGACTTCATAATCATTGACAAAATTTAAAAAATTTTAATCAACATCAAAATTTAATCCACATTTTATGGAGAAGAATCATAGTTAAGAGACCCTATTTTATCTATATTATCTTCAAATCAATAATAAAATTAATGATGTAATTGAATAGATTTCTCAATTTCCCAAAAAATAAAATATTATTAATTTATTGTTAAAAAGCATAATTTTCAAGTCACATAACGTCTTAATTTTTTTAACTATGCAAAACATAAGAATTAATGCTTCATTCAATATTTCGTCCTTAAATTTTCAAATTATATTGAAATTATTATACAGATAATGATCGTTTCTTATAATACTCGTATTGTGAAGACTGTCAATATTAATTTTTAATGGTGCATTTAACAAGTGCATTTTTCTTATTTGCTAAAACAATTGCTGCTATACAGTCGAAATCAACCATAGTCGCAAAATATAAATTTTACTTAAATATTTAGCGTATGCCCTAATACTGAATTCTACATTAATTTTTACATGTAATAAATAAAAACAATAATATTTTATGAAGAGCACGCATCAATATAATAAATCTTAATAATCAATTTTACGACATATACCTTATATATATAATATATCTTTATATAGTATATATTCAATTATAGCTGCTCATATATGTGTGTCAGTGCATATATAGCAAGTAACTTAATAAAATTGTGTATTATTATTCACTTTGATTTAAAATCATTTCCATACTTATTTTATTAGATAGTATATGTCTCTTGCCAAATGACATTTTATCACCATATCCATATATATATATCTTTTTTTTTATATAACAACATTGATTTTCCATTAAGTTTTTCTTTTATATTTGCATGATATTATTAAATGTGACTGTTATTAGGCTATATTTACACGCTATATCTATGCCATAATACGTGCATTGTAATATTAGTTAATTTTTTTATAGAAATTTTATGTAATTTTATAGACATTAAATTACAATAATATATGTGTATGTGTACATATTATAATAGTAATAATAATATTTTAATATTCATTTAAGCGAACAAGATGAGACAATTTATTGTTTTAAATTAATATAAAAAGAATTTTTACATACAAACACATTGTCAGAAAATAAAATAGCTTATTGGCAGCAACAGAAATATTGCCTTCATTCATAAAAATATTTTAGAATGGCAGTGGCGCCATTCATAATAAATATGTATATGTACGAGTATGTACGAATAAAATAAAATTTTATCTTTTTATTATAATTTCTAGTATATTAATTTTTCACTTTTAAATATTTTTTTAACATATGCATCAACACTTTATATTTTATTAATCTAAACAATTATTATTATTATTCTTTTGCCATTTATTTCACCAAATATATATTAAGTAAATGAAAAATATTTCCATTCATCAATTTGAAAATGAAATTCAATAATATTTTGAGATTTGTTATTTTTTTTTTCGTATTAATTTTAAAAATCAATTTTTATTTGTATTGAAATATTTTATTTACACGAGTATATATGTATATATATGCAAATTATAAGTAATTATGTATTTTATCTCAATATTCTGAAAACTTTTGTATGATAAATGATTCATTTTAATTTTCAAATCGTTCTAAATTGAATGATTCATAATATTAAAAATTTTAAGCAGATGAAGAATCAATATGCGATTATTTTTAAATAAATTATGGCAAGTTTGATGTACATACGATTATATTATAAAATTTGATTATATTATAATTATGTTACGACTCGCCAATTTGGCGTATGTCTTTCTATTAGTTTGTATTTAATTTCATATATAATTATTTCAAATATATTTTAGAATAAATTTCTTAACAATTTATTCTTACAAAAATAATTTCATTTGAGATACAAAAAATTTTTGTGGTATATTTTTAAAGTATAAAATAAATATGAAATTAAAGAACTTTGTTGCATTCATTTAGAAATTTTGATAGTAAATATATTTAATTTAAAAATAATAAATTATTAAAAATTGAAGACAAGAAAATCATT